TCTGATTATTAGATAGACTTCTATCCATATTAGACAGAACTGAATGACAACAGCGAACAAGAGGGAGAATGTGAGCACTGTGTGCTCAGGTGCTGCCGCAGCCGTTCTCGGCGCCGTCAAAATAAAAGTCGTCTCGAACACATCGGCCAAACAGAAAAACTTATCGGCCGATGCCGATATTTGAAAAATGGCAGATATCGGGCGATATATCGGTCGACCACTAAATAAAATATATTTATTGTTACTACTGTAAAGCTGTATTAAATTATGGGATGTTCTTCAAGCACTATAAGAAGATCTTTTCTGTATTTTTTTTATTATTTATTGAATAAAAGTAAATTAAATCATTTGAATTATTAAGTAAACAGAATATGCTACAAACTTTGCTGAAGTGATTGTTTTGAACACTTATTAACTTAGATATTACACACAAAAAAAAATTACTTTTATGATTTATTTTCTTGAAAAATGTGTTGTTCCATCAGTGTTCCTACAGTCACTGCATATTAAGCCGGCCACTAATTACACCGCTACTTATCAAATAAATAAATACATAGACATTAAGCTGAAATTATATGAAAGTAAAGAGCAGAGCTATGTAGGAAATATGTTGACAAATGTCACTTATACTGTTCAGCGTCATTATACAAAAATATTTAATGCAGAGATTGACCAATCAGAATCTAGTATTCTTAAGAGCTGTGAAAAGAGAGTTTATATTCAGTGTTTAATTTTGCTGTAAATTTATGCTTTCTAATTTACATACTTGTACTATGCACTAAAAGTAATCGTCTTTCTTGTTGCATACTGTTAAGCATGAATGGTGAAGCTTGGTTTACTATTGTATCATTCAGATGTTTGCTGTCTCTTCAGACACACTATCTTCGCTAGCAACACGTCTTCCCTGCCAATCGCAGACATAGCCAGCTCCACGGCCAGATTAGATCGCTTTGGCGGTCTGCATTTTTTCAACCCCGTCCCAATGATGAAGCTCGTGGAGGTTTGGATTGAATTTATGATTCACTCACTGCTGCTCATCCATCCACCTTAATACAAATGTCAATATCTCTTCAAGATATTGAAGCTTGCATTTAATTGAATATATGAAGCATGTAGTTTCATTGTCTTGTTAAAGGGATAGTTCACCCAAAAATGAAAATTCTGTCATTAATTACTCACCCTCATGTCGTTCCAAACCCATAAGACCTTCGTTCATCTTCGGAACACAAATTAAGATTTTTTTTAAGAAATCCAAGAGCTTTCTGACCCTGCATTCTGACGTAGAACACGCATGCGCTGCGCCTTGTTTACAATCAGAGGTATGCACATGTATGCGTCATGGTATTCTCGTGAACACACGGCGAAGACTGACATGGAAGAGACTAAATAGTTGAATAACGTTTTTTTTTTTTTTTTTGCGCACAAAAAGTATTCTCGTAGCTTCGTAATATTACGGTTCTGGGTCTTGAACGTGGTAGTTCCATTGTTGTCTATGTAGGGTCAGAAAGTTCTCTGATTTCATCCAAAATATAATTTGTGTTCTGAAGATGAACGAAGGTCTTACATGAGGGTGAGTAATTAATGACACCGTTTTCATTTTTGGGTGAACTCTCCCTTTAACTATCTGACTTGACTAACTGTCTTTATCTCAGGTGATTAAAGCTCCAGCAACAAGCCAACAGACATTTGATGCTCTCCTTGAGTTTAGCAAAGCTTTGGGGAAGCATCCCGTCTCATGCAAAGTGAGTGTTGTGTAATCTTGTATATTATTATGTTGGCTTTATCTTTTATCTATCTGTCTGTTTGTCTGATTAGTAAAGCCTAACAACTACCCTAGGGCAAGCTAGCAACATAGTAAAACATGATAGAAACATGCAATGTCCTTAAACGTGCTTGAAACATGTTAGCAATGTGCTTAAACATGATAGCAGCATGTTTACCTGTTAACATGCTTAATCATGCTAGAAATGTGCTAAAACAAAGCCTAACAACAAGCCTAGGGCGAACTAGCAATATGGTAAACCATGATAGAATCATGCAATGCCCTTAGACATGCTTTAAACATGCTAGCAGTATTCTAAAACATGTTAGCGACATCCTAAAACATCCTAGCAATGTGCTTAAACATGATAGAAATGTTAAAGGGGTCATATGATGCGATTTCAAGTTTTCCTTTCTCTTTGGAGTGTTACAAGCTGATTGTGCATAGATAAGATCCCTGAAGTTGCAAAGACTAAAGTCTCAAAACCAAAGAGATATTCTTTATCAAAATACAATAATGTACAGTATTTGAAAGATTATGTGTTTTTTGAACATTAAAGCATGTCAACATATTCTGTTACACCAAATACACAAAATAATGATCTTTAAAAAAGCATCATATGACCCCTTTAATACATGCTACACTATAAAACATGCTTAATCGTGCTAAAACATGCTTAGTCATGTTAACATTGTGTTAAACATGCTAGAAACATGCTAGCAAAATGTTAAAATGTCAGTAAAGAGTTAATACATGATAGAAAATGAACGTTCAGAAAGCTTTTTAAAATGACTATATTCAACTTTCAGACAAGGCTTTGTCAAACCAACCTTAAAGTTTCAACCTTAAACTTCAGACTTTATCTAGTTATCATTATTATTTCTAATAATAACACAAGAGTCACTCTCATTTGCCGTCTCCTCTCAGGATACTCCAGGTTTTATAGTGAATCGTCTGCTGGTTCCTTACATGCTCGAGGCTGTACGACTACACGAGAGAGGTACATGCGTAAAGCAGTGAAGGTTTATGAATGGGTACCCAGACATATTTTGTCTCAGATTTCCGGGTTTCATCTTGGTGTGTATATTCTGCAGGTCACGGTTCCAAGGAAGACATTGATGTGGCCATGAAGCTAGGGGCCGGTTATCCTATGGGTCCGTTTGAGCTTCTGGACTATGTTGGATTGGACACTTCCAAGTTTATTATTGACGGTGAGCGTTTTGATTTGAGCATACCAAGTTTTGATGTAATAGTATTGTGTTGATTTCTAATTATGGGTTTGTGTAGGTTGGCATGAGAAGGACCCCGATAACCCCCTGTTTGCCCCCAGTCCCCTGCTCAACAAACTGGTAGCAGAAGGCAAACTGGGCAAGAAAACCGGCGAGGGATTCTACAAGCACAAGTAACACAAGATTAAATCAGACAACAAAAGCTGGGTCAACGAAAGGCACTGGACTGAGCCACTTGTCCTGAAAAGACTGTTTGATTGTGAATTTCATAAATGTATACAGGTTAAGATAGTAATCAGATACACCACTTTTCCCAGGGAAGTCCTGTATGAAATTACCGGACACATGCAAATTAGTTGGGACATAAAAGGTCTTTAAGACAGGAATGTCGTCCACTACATCTAGTGCCTTGCTGTGTTTGGTAAAGACCTGCGTTCATTAATTCTGAATGTCTGTGGCATTAAAAGGTATGAAAATATCTTGTCATGTGTTTTGTCCTTGCTGCATTCATTGTCAAATAGACATAAATTGACATTAGCATGAAAAGAATTCATTTTTAAAGCCAAGCCTTTCGTGAATATAGTGTGTTTGTTTATCTCTGTCAATCATATGTAACACAGATATATTTATAATATAACATGTAGCCACAGATGTCGCTGTTTCATCATTTATTCATACTCGGTTCCCTGTCAAGCAAACTATCAAAATAGTTTTATTTGGCACATAAAAGAAATGTAGTCCTCCATAAAAATATAGAAATTCAACAAAATTTGCCCTGCAAGCATTTGAACACTTGTGTTACACTTAAACATTCATAAATGATCAAATATAACAGCAAGTGACATTTATTTTAAAGATCCCAACATATTGTGGCCACTGTATTTACACATGATTTACATTAACAATAAAATTGTATGAATCATGTTAATTCAAATGCTTTATATTAACTTTTGGTGCTTGGATATTTCTTTAATCCTGGCTATGCAGACTCCTGAAATATGATTTGCTGATGGCTTCTAAGTTTCATAAGCAAAAAAATCACAAACTCGGTGTCCTCGGATACCCTTGCTGTGGACTCTCTTCACATTGTGTGGAAAGACATATGTAAGAACTTTGCCTTCTGAATAATGCATGAATATATTTTCAGCTCTCTGCAGTGTCCAATATAAATGCACAAGTTTATAATTCCAGTTGTTGCACCTTCAACGTTTTCAAGTTTGCATGCAGGTTTTTAGGACGTTGTGAGCTTTGATCATTTATCAATGAAACTATGGAAATATTCAAAACCTTTATTAATTTTTATTTAAAACAACCAATCTATTTTTACAGTTTATTTTAAAATGTATTGTCTAATTGCATTAAATAAGATATTAAACCAAGTGAAGGATGCAAACAAATGATTTCCGAGCATTTCTCAGAATAACTTAACTTTTTAACTCACTCTTTCCGGACGATGGGGCCTTCCTGGGAATTCTGTCCGTGTGAACACTTCATGGGAACAGCGAGTTTTCCATATTAAAAAGCTATTTTTCGGATTTCTCCTAGTGTTGTTTGTTCTGTGGCCGCCGGTCAGACACAGGGTTTCTGGCAGACAGCCATTACACTGACTGATGCCCACGGAAGAGAGAGAGCAGACCGCAGGAAATGACACGAAGTCTGAGCAGCTGGAGTGAGTAAATGACATCAGACCGAGGAAATGAGCTCTTATAAAGCGCACAGCTGTCTGATGTGTGCGGAACATGTGAGAACAACACTTCGAACTTCCTTATTGCTGTATTTACATAATGTTATGATTACATATAGGTACTTTGTGAAGACGTTAAAATAATCATTATTAATATTCAGAGTCATATCAGACCACCACATTAATATGTGAGGGACAATTCATAATTTTAACTGAACTTTTTGTATTTTTAAACTTGGGTGAAATTTATGTTTTATATCGTATGTAATATTCTTATTTTCACAAAATGTGTTTGAGATCAAACTTGGAGACTTGAGATGATAAATACTACACAATATAGCTATAACATAAGTCATATACAAATATAAGATGCATTTAAAATGAATGAATCGTGGTAATATTTAAATTAAAAACATGGGTTAATGCTTACGTTGCTTTAAGATTGTTTTATCCCTTACGAAAATTAACCATGGTCTTAAAATAAAAAAAACATAGTTCTAGGCTAGTTAAACCATGGTAACCACAAATTAACCATGGTTTTGCTACACTAACCATAGTAAAACTGTGGTTATACAAATGGTAATCAATACGCCAAATAATAATAATAATAATAAAACATGGTTACTACACTTTTACTACAATAAAACCACGGTTAATTTTCGTAAGTGATTTTTGCTATCGAGCAATATTCTGTAATATTTAATGTATTCTATCAAATAATGTTCACCTAGTGGGTAATTTAGTTGTAATAATTACACTTACCTTAATGCTTATTCAAGAGGAAATACAACAACTTATTTACTGCAGCATCCAGCATTTAGTCCTTGTGAAATGCTCTTGAATAAAAGTGTATTGTTAATGAAAACATGTATATGACGAGATCATGTGACATATTCAATATTTTGTGCTCATTTCCATTCAGATAGTTTAGTATGCGGATACTGTAGCTGTTAATGCATCAGATTCATCTATTAGCCAACGATAACAGCATAAGGCAGTCGCGTTTTGATTTCATCTTCTTCCAGTAGATGGCGCCATACAACACACATTGGCTTTTATAACTAGTTAAATCCTATTGTTACACATCTGTTGTAACAGTCAAGCCTAACAAAGTCAAACATGAGCACAACAGCCACAGAAAAGGGTCGAAACAGGACAAAGACTGTTAGCAATTATAACTCGGTTGTGAATCATATAGGAAATGACAAGCATTTTATTAAGAACTACACTTTAACTCTTCGTAAACTGGTCTCAGTATCAGACCGTCGTTATATTTAAGCTTGGGTTAGGAACTTATTACAAACACAAAATGTCAATAACTCCCCAGAAAACACATGATGGCGGCATTAACAACGCGATGAGCTTTACCGATACTGAAATCAGCCTACATACAGCAGTGTATGCTGCATTGTGCATTCAGCGCGATCAAAACCATGCTTTATATATTTTCAGACCCAAAATTTGAGCATTTGTAAGAAGAAGAATGAACGGCCATTTAAAAAAAAAATATTTTTCTTTTAGCTGTATTGCAAACCATTTCCCTTATTATCATGTACTTAAGGCCGCATGAATATTCAAATGCATATTAAAATGAACACGGAGGTACAGCTGCATTTTATTTCTCATTCATTTTAATAAGCCTTTTGAAGTTTTCCCAGAGATCCACAAGATATATTCTGTCATTTCTAATGCTTCTTGTTGGACGTAGAAATGTACTCCCTTACACTGATGAAACATTTCAGTGTAGCCTATATAATAAAATGTAAAAAATAATACTAAAATAAAATGAACATACTGCAATCGTTTTAAGTCAAAGATGGCTATTTATTTTCATAAAAAAGACATGTTGAAACAGTTCGAATGTGACCACTTGGAAGCAAAATGCTAAACCAAGTTAACTCTTCAAAATATGACATTGAATGTAAAAAAAAATAAAATAAACATCTGAAAAGGCTAAAAGAGAACAATTAAAAAGAATAAAATTTGGAAATGTTTGCATGGAATAAACATGGTAAAAGACCATTCTATTACCTACCAGAGAGACAGAGGAACATTGCAATTAAAGAAAGACTGCCAAGTGCTGGGGTAAATATATATAGATATACATCTGCTTCATTTGTCAATTTAGATCAATAAAATATAGGCCTCTGGGTACCTACTCTTTCGACTTTGTCCTAATGTTGCCTGCAAAAATACCAAGAAAAGTGACATCCAGACATCTCTTTTTAAAAAGTACACATTGAGCATTATTTTACATCTGCGCAAGACTGAGAAGTCAATATATGTTACAAATAGTTATCAAAAAGAAGACTTTCAAATGTTATTTCTGCAAGATGCTTCAACAAGAAAAATGGCTTTCCTGTCTCCAAGCTTATTTTCATATACCATTATATATATATATAAAATAATGATTAAAAAAATCACTTAAAATATACACAGAGAAATCAAAATAAAGAATAATAAAAAAAAGCATTCAAAATAAACTTGAACCCAAGATGTTTGAGGAGAAATCAATACATTGATCCTTTTTGCACCAATGTGTCATAATGCAAAACCCAACCTACGGAGATTGTTTCCAGGGCAATGTGTGATCCCTAAAATGTTGCTATAGAACGCCGTGAGGTGTGTCGGGCCCCTGTGTTGCTACATTTTTGGGGACACAAAAGGAAGTGAGGGAGTGACGTAGTGAACACACAGAAGACAGAGGTGCCAAATAACTTAGAATAACTTAGGAACAGGTGTAGGAACGTGTGTGTTTGTTTACATGTGGCCATATGTGCGATTTACAAACGGTCGAGGAACATAATCAGTGCAACGCCTTCGGCTTCGGGAGTGAATTAAGGACAGAAAACAAAAAGGAACGTTCAAATGAGTGTTCACGGGTCTGCGTGAGGGCCTGTGTTGGTGATTGTCTGTTCTCAGTTCAACGTCTCTACAGCAGCGCCTGCAGCCAAGGAGCAGATTCAAGGACCGGGACCCTCTGGAGATTCCGCAGGGGTCAAGAAGTGACGGAGGGGTGAAAGGTTGAGGAATCTAGCAGGCTTCCATCTCTAAAAGGGGGCCTGTAGCTGCTGTCTTTGCTTTGCAAGAGGAAAAAGAAGTCCGTTTTCCTCCTGTAGAACACAAACGGAGAGAAAAACATGGTAAGTTTAATAATCTAATAATATATATATATATATATATATATACACACACATATGGAATGATTAGCACAAAATATTTAAAAATAATTTTAAAATATAATTATATTTTGTGTGAATTATCCCTTAAAAATTTTATATTATTATTATTATTCAGTTTTTAAGGGATATTTCACATAAAAATTAAAATTCTGTCATCATTTACAATGAGTGGCCCAGTGCTGTTTTGGATCCCAATGACTTTAATTGTATGGACAAAAACAGCTGAAATACTTAGTTTGGAATGATTGAGGGTGAGTAACTGACAGAATTTTTATTTTTGAGTGAACTATCCCTTTAAGAATTTTAGACCTACTGTTTTAAACAAATTAGCCATATTATTATTTTATTTTTAAATCAATATAATCAGAATGTCTAGTTCATAGTAACAATTCATAGTGTACAGTCTCTCAAGAACAATGTGCATGAAAATTGCCTCTGAAAACGAAAAAAAAAAAAAAAAAGAGCACCGAGATTTTTTTACCATGCATTGTAATTTGCGTATTGCACATTAGGACATTTAGAGCAAAAACAGATTGCAAGCTTTCAACAAACTGGCACACTCAAAAAGTACCCAGCATACCATTTTGAAAGAAAAAAGAATCCCATGTCCAA